TTAAGGCAAAAACCCATCTGCCCCTGGCCTCAAAATTAGGCATATGGTTTTCTCCGAACACAATGGAACGTTACATCCACATTTTAACTTGGAAAGCACAGATTATACTATGTATCTGCAAATATGTAGGTTGGATTTTAAAACTCACTCTGAATTATGTTTTATAGTCAGTATAGGACAGTGGTGGCTAACCTTTTCAACACTGAATGGCGAAATGGGAGCGTGTGTGTGTGTGTGTGCCGTAAACCGGAAGAGCAGCTCCTTGATGTGTGTGCATGGGAGTACTGGAAACCAGAAGCTTAGCTTTGCGGAGCGCATGCTGGCTACCTGGACTTCTGGTTTCTAACACGTAAGCGCACATGAAGACCAGCTGGCCGGTGCATGCATGCACTTCGGTAAGCTGCTTTTCCTGTTTATGGTGCTCCCGTGAGCACAAAGACCAGCTGGCTGGCACGCATGGAGCTGCTCTTCTGTTTCCAGCGCTCCCGTGCACGTGTAGACCAGATGTCCGGCACGCATGTGCATGCCGGAACCTGAAAAGCAACAGGTGTTGGCTGACATGCCCGGAGAGATGGCTCTGCGTGCCACTTCCAACATGTGTGGCATAGGTTCGTCATCACGGGTATAGGAGAAAAAATAGAAATGAAAACAAAGATTACAATTATAATTATGAGTTGCAAAACATGAGAAACATTACGAAGTTGTATGTTTATGGAGATTCTCAGTCATTTAGGTCATGGTTGTCCCAAAGGTGCTTTTTCAAGAGGTAAGTGGACTTTCTTGTTTTTCTTTGAAAACATTTCACTTCTCATCCAAGAAGCTTCAGGAGGATCTTCAGCCAACACAACAAACATGCACACCTTAAATTCAAGAATACACTAAGGCAGACGTTTATCCACCCGAAGGATAAAACACACCCAGACAAAATGAGCAACGTGGTATATGCAGTACAATGCAGTGAGCCATGTGCAGATCTGTACATTGGGGCAACAAAACAACCACTTCATAAACGCATGGCACAACATAGAAGAACAAATCCATCAGGAGTAGATTCAGCAGTCCATCTGCATTTAAAAGACAAAGGCCACTCTTTTGAAGACAGCAAAGTCCACATTTTGAACAGAGAGGACCGCTGGTTTGAAAGAGGGGTCAAAGAGGCCATCTATGTCAAAATTGAACAGCCTTCTTTCAACAGAGGGAGAGGAATACGACATCTATCTCCAGTCTTTAACTGGAGTCTATAGTCCTTTCAACAGTTCCAAGAAGGCTCCACACCCATTTGCGTACTCTGGTGACCCTGAGGACACAGAAAAACCTCCAAGTGGCCTTAATGATTCGCTAAAAGAATGCAAATGACGGAATTCCGGTTTCACCAGGCTTCGGAGGCGGCGGGGTTTCGCGATCTCTGCAATCCCCGCCGCGCTAGCCGCTCTTGGTTTCTCCGACCCAGACGGGTCTGGAGGATAAGGTTGCCCCGTAGAGGCAACCGAAGACAGGGAGGATCCGGACAAGGGGTTGGGGTGTTCGCAGACCCCTTCCCCACCCGGCATAACCTCCTTTTCTCAAGTCGGTCCAGTGGCGGTCAGCAATGGCCGCCACAAAGAAGCCAGCAACCGGACAAGATCGTGCTGGAGGAAGAAGGAGAAATTTTTGAAGCGAAAGTTTTTTTGGCTGAACTGGGACTAGAAGATACATTTAATACCCTGAAATCTAAGAGTTGGTTTTTTGTTTGAAAGATACTTTGTTTCCAGAAGAGATTTGCAAGCGGCGAGTGAAAGTGTTTCAAGTGAAAGTTTACTCTCCTTCCACATGGAATTAACAAATGAATGCTGAAAATACTACTATTCTATAAAAAGTAAAAATCTAAAGCTTCTTGTTATAAAGGGGAAGGGAGAGGACAAAAGGAAAATTTATACTAAGATTTTGTTGAAGGAGATGCCTGGAAGATTTTAGAGATTGGAAGTTACTGTAATAAGAATTTAAAATACAGACTGGTTTTTTTTTTTCTCCCTTTGCAACTGATTTTAACCCAGGAAGAAGGGAAGAACTTTGTGCTTTGTTTGGATTGTTTGGTGACTTTGGGACTTTGGGATTTGCTTTAAGCTTGGAAATATCTTTGGCTGTTTTAAGAAGAAGAAGAAGAGGATTTACAATGACTTTATCTGCTGATGAACTGAGAGAGGAATATGGCAAAATAAAGAAAGACGATGTGGGAGAAATTTTTTGCTTTTTAGAAATGGCGCTTGCTACTTATCAGCAAATACAACAATTGATGGAAGAAGAAGAAGAAGAAGAAGAAGAAGCCATCTTTAATGAACCCATAGAGGTGCTTAAGAAAGGAAGGAGAAAGAAAGGGAAAAAAAAGGATATAAGACTTAAAAAAATATTTAAGAAAGAGAAAAATAAGATGCAAAATCAATATAAGGCTAGAAAGCAAAAGGAAAGAGAAATACAACAGAGAGGGGAAGTTAAGGGGGGTAAAAAGACCAGATGGGATAAGACAGGGAGGAAGAAGGGGGAAAAAGGCCACGAGGGTATAAAACAAGATGTGAAAAAGAAATGTTTTTTTAGGGATAAAGGGTAATATAATTTTGTTTTAAAAGGATTCTGCAAGGTACATATGATAGTATTGTAGTATTTGTATTAGAAATAGAAAATTATAATTTTATAAGATTTGAGTAAAGACTAAAATATTAAAGGTTTAATAATGGTAGAATTTAAGATTTAATAAAATATTAAAAGGAAGGTTTAAAATACTTAGTTTAAATATAGATTTTAATTGACTACTGTGTGGATGTTAGTATGAATATATTATTGTAATACTTGTTTTTGAAATAGATAATTGGAATGCTATGAGATTTAATGTTTAATGATATATTTAATTATGTTATGGATTCACTATTTTCTTTTTGTAAGTAGTATGTACTAAGCAGAATCAGATAGGGAATTTGGAGTTACCTTAAATGTTAATTTAGAGGTGCGATGGAAAGGCATCATACTTTGATTTGTGATTTCAGGAGAAATTCTTTTATTTTATTATGGGGAATGAAATAAATAGACAATTGGAAAACAATGGACAAAGGATAGAAATATAATGATTTAAATTAAGTTAATAAACAAAATAGAATTAAGAAGAGTGAAAAGCGGGGAGAAGTTATAAAGAAGTTACAGGATGGTAATTAAGATAGGTAATGGCATATAAGATGAATATGAATTTATTCGAAGTCCATACAAAGAGTGGTAATCCGGGGCCAAGCTACTTTTTTGAAAAAGAAGTTTTACTTTATGTGTTTTGTGTGTCTATGTCTATGTGAGATTCAATAAAACCTTGGAGGAAAGCGGGAGGAGAATAATTGCAAACAAGACAGAGGGAAATATGAATATGATGATTAAATTTAAAGAGAAGAAATGAGAGTGTTAAAAGATATTTAAGTAGAAATGGGATATATTAAAATCACACTGTATAAAATATTGTATTATCTGCCTTGTAAAAATTTACAAGGGAAAGAGGTTTAATGTGTACAAGGTTTATGTTTTGTTTGTCTTTAAAAACTAATAAAATTTGTTTTTTTTAAAAAAAGAATGCAAATGACCAGTTGATTGCAAGGAGTATAAATTCTTCTGTTCACCACCATCCAGTTAGAGCTGAAGAAGCTTCTTGGATGAGAAGCGAAACATCTTCAAAGAAAAACAGGACAGTCCAGTTGCCTCTTGAAAAAGCACCTTTGGGATTATGAGGTTGTAAAACTGCTATGATCGACTGCCCTGAAATATAATAATGTTTATATTTATTTCAGTTATTATTTTAAAAGTTACTATAAATTATTTATGCAATGGATAGGTATGGCATAAAGAATTAGAAAAGAAGGAACATATTTCTCTTTCATTCTTACTTTGTACAGCAAACCTAAATCCTGAAATTTCAAAATTGCAACAGAAACAGAAAGGATGGATTTTATGCATGATAAATACACAATTTCTAAGTGTGAGTATATAAGGACCAGACAGAGTGACAAAAACAGTCAGTCAGTCAGTCAGTCAAACAGGGTTAATTTGCCATAATGGCAGAGTAAATTATTTTTATCATGCTTTAGCATGCTGTAAGTATTGGATTTGTTTTAATTATTAAGAAATACAAACTTTAGATTAGCACTGAATGTTCTGAGAATTTGACATAACTTAGAAGATCCACTTACAATTGCTTGGCTAAATTGGTACTAGAGAAATACAAGAATTAATCTTGAAAATTTATATCTAATTAAAGAGTCTAAGCAAATGGAGTTTCTTGAACAAGCTGCAAAGATATCCTGATTCACTATATCAAAGATCAAGATATAAACTAATGTATACTGTATTTTACTGTAGCAAAAGAAGAACCTGGTATAGGGAAGAATTCTGATTCCTGAGAACATTTTATTTTTATTTAATAAATTGCATGTTTGTAGTTATTACAGACGCAGATAAAAGTGAAAAAGTCATAATACAATAAAGAATCCCATTATCAACAAAACACATTTTATTTCCATTTCCTTATAGCCACTCTACAAGGATATACACTCATTCTATTTACTCTTAATCACTATGATGCCTTTATTCTTATTCCTTAGTCTTTTCAAAGATAACCCTGATACAGGAGCCCATATAACCAGCTCTCAGTTTCACCTGTCAGATTTCTCACTAGTAATTTGTTGAAGCTGACACCTGCCAGAATCATCCATCATCTACTAACCAATATAACATTTCTATCTGCTACAGTGGTTATAGGGAAAAGAAGAAATACATATTTAAAGTATGGATAACAATATTTTTTGCTTCCATTCACTGTTGTTACAAAAACGTTTTTGGTATTTTAGCTTGCCTAAAAATGCTCCCAAGCACATTTCTTTTCAACCAGCCCTAAATAAAACACCACAATGTAATAATCGGTCTTCCAATTTTATATTGGATTCAGGTAACAAAGGCAATGACTTAAAATAAAATAAGAAAAAGGCAATCACTACCTGACAAGGTCAATGACTCTCTCCCTTGGGGCAGTGTTTACTGGCTCATCATTAATCATAATGATTTGGTCTCCTGGTATAAGTTTTCCTTCAGAAGGACCACCTGGAAATACAAGCACAGATTATATTTTATTGTATAATGTGTTTGTTATGCAGATGCTTGATGCTGAAAATGCTTGGGATATTTTCCCATATTGACACATGAATGTGCAATGCATTTTCTGCAATATCAAATTAAAAATCAAATTGAACCAATGGTTGGATGTGGCTTTAGCTGTGGTTTGCTCTTCAGTCTTTAGAATCATTCATTGCAATATCTGGATAAGTGGTCCTCAATAATATAGCAAAGCAAGAAAAAACTACTTGGAGTCCAGCAAACTCCAGGCCCTTGTGGAAAGATTCTGGAAGAAGCCATTTGCTTGCTTGCATTCTTCTTCACTGTTAGTACTATAGCTTACTAAGCTACAGGTATGATTCAAACCGAAGAATTTTGACTACAGAGGCTGTCTTACAGTGTTGCCTCTTTTGTGTAGTAAAATAGTATAGAATAATGAATGTCAACCTTCTCTAATGAAATGTCTTCTACATGTATTTGGATAGAGTTTCCAGGCACTGTTGTCATAGGCTTTGGGGGATTTTGGCAGTTCTAGTCCCAACACATCTAGAGAATACAAGGCTGTGACACACTAACTAATGGAAACCTATCAGCAGAAGAGCGGTGATAAGTAGGAACCAATATAACAACTAGATTAATGTTAGCCAAATGCAGAAATCATACCTGGTGTTACTGAGCGCACAACAACAGGTTTTTCACTGCCAGCCACAAAACCAAATCCCAAAATTGGGTCTCTTTTCATTTCTATTTTCCGAGGTGCTGGAGGTATAATTTGGCAACTGTCTATTCGGGGATCATCAAAAGGAGCAGTCTGAATCATGTGACTAAGGGAAAAGAAGATAGACATTTTAAAATCTAGGTAAGCTCCAAACACAAGTTTCTAATTGACTTTGAAAAGGATATCAACACTATTTAAACAGTAAGAATGTATTTTTATAATTAAAACTATAGTCCTCAGCATAATTAGTACAATAAAAAATAAATTTGGTAAGTTGAGTAAACATGGATACAGGAAGTTCTCAACTTACAACCATTCATTTAGTGATTGTTCAGAGTTACAACAGCAATGGAGAAAAAACGATTCGTGACCATTTTTCGCATTTATGATTATTGCAGCATAACTATGGTTATGTGATAAAAAAAATGGATGCTTGGCAACTGGCATGTATTTATGACAGTTGCACAGTCCCAGGGTCATGGGATCACCTTTTGCAATCTTCTGACAAGCAAAGTTCAATGAGGAAGCCATACTCACTTAACAGCTGTGTTTCTAACTGAAGAACTGCAATGATTCATTTAACAACTATGATGAGAAATGTTGTAAAATGAGGCAAAACTCACAACAACGGTCGAGGACTACTTGTATGCAGTTGCAAATCCACTTGGACACATTTACAGGTAGTCCTCGAGTTACAACCACAATTGAACCTAAAATTTATATTGCTAAGTAAAACATTTGTTTGTTTTTAATACTTTATTGGGTTTTTTTCTTTTTACATATCTCTATTACTTAGTAAAGAGTACTGTGACATTTTATATACATATACATATATTTACATACATATACATTTATATACATTTACATACATATACACTTATATACATACACTATTACTATACCTTCTATATCTATTATATACATTTTCCTTTCTTATTTCTATTGTCAATCAATTTCTCCCATATTGCATAACATTTTGAATCTACTTTTCCTTTTATTTCCATGGTCAATTTATCCATTTCTGCCCAATTTTTTTTTTAATTCCTAAACCTTCAGATGGTGTGCAATCTTTCTTCCAATACTGTGCATAGGAAATCCTTGCTGCTGTTAATACGTGTAACATCAAATACTTTATCTTTCTATTGTAATTCCTTTTTATTATCCCTAAAAGATATAATTCTGGAATAAAATCTATTTGACATCCAATTAGCTCCTGTAACCACATTTGTATTATCTTCCAATATTTTTTCGCTTCGGGACATAACCACCATGTTTTTGTCGCATTTCCAGCAATTTAGTTTTAAATTTGGATAAATCTTAGCCAATCTTGCAGGCGCCAAATGCCATTGGTAAAGCAGTTTGTGTTGGTTTTCTTTATAGGCCACCAATTTCGTTATCCTGTGGCTTATATTCCAAATTCTTTCCCGCTCTTCTAAATCTATACTGTGTCCAATATTTTTGGCCCACGCAATTATTGATCCCTTCACAACCTCTTCTGCTCTATCAAATTCTAATAAGTATTTATATATCTTTGATAACAGTTTCTCATCTGGACCAATCAAAAGTTTACCTAATTTTTGTGGTTCAATATCTATTCCAAATTCCTTGCTATCTTTTTTATATCTTGTTTGTAGTTGGAGGTAAGGCCACCAATCTATGTTTATTCCCTGCTCTTTCAATTCCTGTCTACTTTTTAATTTCCCTTGATTATCTAAAATTTCCCTGTATCCGGCCATTTTATTAACATCCATTGTATTGGGCTGGATCGATGCTTTAACATTTGTTAAGTGAGTTTTGACCAAGTTTATGACTTTTCTTGCCACAGTTGTTAAGCGAATCATTGCATTTGTTAAGTTATTAACATGTGAATCTGGTTTTCCCATTGACTTTGCTTATCAGAAGATCACAAAAGGTGATCACATGACCCTGGGACAGACAGTGCAACCATCAAAGATATGAATCAGTTGCCAAGCATCTGAATTTTGATCACATGACGATGAAGATGCTGCAATAGTCATAAGTGTGAAAAACGAGGATTAGTCACTTTTCCAGTGTCACTGTAACCTTGAACAGTCATTAAATGAACTGTTGTAAGTTGAGGACTACCTATATTTCATTTGAATTGGTACAGAAGAACTTCATAAAGGATCAAACTCAAAATTCTATTCTAAACTGTTTTTCACATTTATAATGGTTGCCACATCCACACAGTCATGTGATTAAAATTTGGATGTTTGGCCACTGGTTCATATTTATGATTGTTGCATATTCTGGGGACATGTGATCCCCTTTTACGACCTCTGACAAGCAAAGTCAGTGGGGAATCCAGATTCACTTAAGAAGCATGTTACTAACTTAACAACTGCAGTGATTCACTTATCAACAGTAGCAAGAAAAGTCATAAAATTCATTTAATAAATGTCTCAGTAACATGGATTTGGGGCTCAATTGTAGTCATAACTTAAGGACTACCTGTATTGGACCAAGTGCTAGACTTTATATGAACATATTATGAGTTACGTACAAAATCTCCTGTAGACTTTCCCTGTAGACACCAATGATCAGCATATTGAGGTCATGTGGTTATTAAATTACTTGGTTTACCTATTCAACCATACAGCTAATAAGTAAGTCATGCTGGGGGGGTTTTCAGAGCAACTGATCTATAGAGCTAACATGGCCCTATATTAGCAAATGGGTATATTGGTCCAACAGATTATTTTTTAAAGTAGGATTTTATAGCTTGGTGACTTTTATATACAATACATTCTTTAAAGTAACTGCCGGAATCCTGACAATTACTTTTACAGAGTTTTAATAGTTTTGCACATTTTTTATTAAGATCCTGAGGGTCTTCCATTCTCATACAGAGTTTTAATATCTCAGTTTACATTCAAGACATTCAACAGCTTGGAAAACCTGGTGTTGCCCCTGAATTCCTTAAATAGCCCTGATAAGAGATCCTAGGATATATGTAAAAATAATGAAGTAACTTTGTATACTATCAAGAGATGTGTGCCTCTCTTTTTATAAAGCTACCAAGATGTATTTTAACTGAAGAAAGTTTGTCGTTTATTACCGAAATTTAATATGACATAATTAAAACTATTGATAAAATTATATACCCATATTCATACATGTATACATATATTGAATGTTGCAAAACTTAATTAAAAAAGAATACTTGTCCACTGTATCTAAAGTATTATCTCTCTCATAGACATTGATTAATCTTTTTAAAAATGTATAGAATTTTGAGCATGACCCATTATGAAGTTCTTTCATACCAATTCCAATGAAATAAATATGGATCTTAGTTGATTTGCAACTGCATATCCATTTTTTTTCAAGTGTCACTAAATTTAGTCAATTTTATATCCTATTAAATTTGCTGGGGACTACAGTTTTAATTATAAAAATATATTCTTACTGTTTAAAAAATATCAGTATCTTTTCAAAGTTAACTAAAAATGATTACAATCAGGATGATAAAATAAAGTACTTGAGGAATCCATTTATTGTCTTTATTGCACTAAAAATTAAACTACATCAGGGGTGTCAAACTCAAGGCCCATAGGCTGGGGTGCTTAGATTTGGTCTGCAGGTGCACCATGGCAACAGTGAAGGATCTTCCCACGGTGCCTCTGCCAGTGAAAATGGAGCTCGGGGAGGCTGTTTTCGCTGGCAGAAGGCTGAAGGAGGCCATTGTGGCTGAAAATGGAGCTTCATTTAGTGACATCGAGCTGGCCACACACCTCTGGCCATGACCCCCTGGCCCCCCAAGGTCAAACACAACTGATGCGGCCCTCAGTGAAATTGAGTTTTAAACTTCTGAACCACACCATGATAAAATGAGTACATTTTAGAATCTTTGAAGTTGTACAGTAAGGAAAAGAATGCTTAATACAAAGGAAAACCATAAAGGTCAATCAATATATTTAAATGTTTTTTTTTCAATAAATGAACTGCACTTTTTAAGTTCTAATAGATTAAAATGATATTCATTTCTAAAATTTAGGTACAAGAATTCTGTAGTTTTAGCTTACATATTTATATTTGTTTTCACCAAAGATCTCAGTACTTTTATTGTCTATTTTTTCTTTGTTAACATTCTATTTGTCTGCAAGTTCTCCACAATATTTAAATCCTCTAAAGTAACATCATTGTATAGTACCATATAAGTAACAGCCATCTGGGTGAGCATATGGCAGAAATGTAATTGTAAAAAAATAAAGATTATCATGCACAAACATGCCAAAGGCTATATGACATGTATAAATCCACATAAAAAGGAACAGGAAAATAGAAACAAATCTACATCTATAAGCAAATAAATACTGCTTATAATTGGTAATACTGGGGGGGATAATAATACTTAGAATTAAAGCCTATATAATTTTAATTCAGAGAGAGAAAAAGAGAAAGAGGGCATGCACACTATCTGAATTATAACACTAATTCTTTTTTCAAACAACAATTGAATAGAATTTGGAGATCCACCAGAGATTTCAAATTACCGTATATACTCGAGTATAAGTCGACCCGAATATAAGCCGAGGCACCTAATTTTACACAAAAAAACAGGGAAAAATTATTGACTCGAGTATAAGCCGAGGGTGGGAAATGCAGCAGCTACTGGTAAATTTCAAAAATAAAAATAATTAATTTGGGAAACGATCTCACTATCATGAAAGGTTTAATTGATTCACTAACCCAAAAGAAGAAGATGATGATGACAGTGGGAGGCAGGAGTCACTCTCTTCCCCTCCCTCGGAGGCCCCCTGAGTCAGGAGTCACTACCTCCGGCGCGGCCCCAGTCCCGCGTTGCCTCGGGAAGGGAAAGGCAAAAAGGAAGAGCCGCGGCAGCGCTTTGCAACAGCAGCAGTGGCACCGGAGGCTCAGGCTCAGCGGCTCCTGGTTTTGCCACAGCCTTCCCAAGGCAACGCGGGACCGGAGCCGCACTGGCGGCAGCAACTCCCGACGGGCTGGGGCTCAGCCGGACACCTGAGCGGAGATGTAGGGAGAAGGCAAAAGCGACGGAAGATCCTTCAGGGGAAACTGAGGGGGAGACTCACCCTTGGTCCAGATGAGCCCCCTTCCCCGCCC